TGGCACCTAACTGTGATGTAGGCTAGCTGGTGATCTTAATGTCTATATACATGTAGTGGCACCAACCGTGATGTAGGCTAGCTGGTGATCCTAATTTCTATATAGTGGCACCAACCGTGATGTAGGCTAGCTGGTGATCTTAAATTCTATATAGTGGCACAAAACTGTAATGTAGGCTAGCTGGGGATCTTAATTTCTATATAGTGGCACCAACCGGGATGTAGGCTAGCTGGTGATCTTAATTTCTATAAAGTGGCACCAACCGTGATGTAGGCTAGCTGGGGATCTTAATTTCTATATAGTGGCACCAAACTTTGATGTCGGCTAGCTGGTGATCTTAATTTCTATACAGTGGCACCTAACTGTGATGTAGGCTAGCTGGTGATCTTAATTTCTATATAATGGCACCAAACTGTGATGTAGGCTAGCAGGTGATCTTAATTTCTATATACATTGTAGTGGCACCAACCGTGATGTAGGCTAGCTGGTGATCTTAATTTCTATATACTGGCACCAAACTGTGATGTAGGCTAGCTGGCGATCTTAATTTCTATATAGTGGCACCAACCGTGATGTAGGCTAGCTGGGGATCTTAATTTCTATATAGTGGCACCAACCGTGATGTAGGCTAGCTGGGGATCTTAATTTCTATATAGTGGCAGAAAACTGTGATGTAGGCTAGCTGGTGATCTTAATTCCTATATAGTGGCACCAACCGTGATGTAGGCTAGCTGGTGATCTTAATTCCTATATAGTGGCACCAACCGTGATGTAGGCTAGCTGGGGATCTTAATTTCTATATAGTGGCACAAAAACTGTGATGTAGGCTAGCTGGTGATCTTAATTTCTATATAGTGGCACCAACCGTGATGGAACCAAAAAAATACAGAAACCATGGACTGCTTCCCAATTTTAACGAATAAATAGTCGGTTTCACCTATTACCAGTAACAAACTGACTTGAAGACAGATGATCAGAGTGGAAAAGTGCCTAATTGCATTTCAGATTCTCTGATGTAAGACGCATACATAGACATTAATCATTCTACGCCTCAGCTAGGTCGTTTTGTGAGGCGTATTTTTAGATTAAGCTATTTTGGTAACACGTTAGGCTATAAATAGTTACTACCTGATCTACTGCCAGATGATTAGCATAGAGAGGCATGATCGGCCACGCTATTTTTAGATGCAAATCCGGTAGCCGCTAGATATAGCGGTATACGTAGGTAATGGAGGTATTTACACAGCTTTTTGTTTTACTGACGTTTACCGAGAAATGTATTGACCTACCAAGCATATGTCACTCCACTGATATTTTTTAAGGTTCCTGGTAAAACCCAACACGAAAGTTTATACTACCTCTCTGCAATATCTTTATTACACTATAAACATTGTTCATACAGCCCATGTCCAGTCTACATACTTTCATTGCTTGACTTTTTTTTCTATAAGACGAGAATAAACACAAAGTATTGCGGGACCTCTTCCTGGTTGTGAACAGATTTCCAACACATACGACCGGGTTCGATTCCAGATATATTATCGGCGCGTGGTATTCAGAGGTGCCTCTTCCTCGAACAGGGCCCGTGCAATCATGTGATTTTAGAAATTAACGAGTAGGTTATGCCTGTTTCAAGAGACGCATTCTAAGTGGCTATAAAAAACTTGACTAAAGGTACCAAAAGCAAAGTGATTTACATGACTGAACTTGAGCATAAATATAAGCATGAGCATAATCAAGGATCTCGTAACTTGGCAACCCACATTGACTCATCTACTTCCTCAATTTATTTCAGTATATTCTAAAAATAGCCCTATGATACGTACACACTGCATACCGACGCGATACACTGCACGTGTGTCGATGGTAGCTGATACAGGTGCAGCCTGGGCGTAGAGCGCGAGTAAATAACTTTGTTCCCATGGTTTCTAAATATAGGTAGGCCTACTGACGCCCCAGGTGGTCTACAAAGGTAAACTTCGATCGGTTGAATGGGAACGAATTATTCAAAAATTATAAAGAATCGCCAAAAATAATGCGTTACAAAAAAAAGTGTCATCGTTCCTCATTAATGCCATCCTCGCTACTGCAGTTACGCTCACTTACTTACAGAGAGTGTAATTAAGTGGTGTATTAATGCTTTCGGTGTTCAAATATATATATATGGTCAATTGTTACAGCAAAAAGTGTGAACTTGCATATTAATACAGCAGATTGTGTTATTGAATTGGTTACAGCAGTTTACTGGTATTTACATTTGATTACATCGGAGACGTGGTATTATAAACGTTTACAAAAAATTAAATGTGCTTACAGCAGAAACATGAAGTTTCATAAAATTACAGCAGATATGTCGAATTGTGAATACTTAAAGCAGAGATGTACAATTACACACATTTACAGCAGAGACGTTTAATTACATATGTTTACAGCAGAGACCTGTTATCACTTATATGTAATTGCAGTAGATATGTCGAATTACGCATGTTCATAGCAGAGATGTACAAATTCACACGAGTATAATAGTGGTTTATGTACACATAGTTACAGCAGAGACGTGGTATTAACATATTAAAAGGAAAAACGTGTAAATTACATAAGATTACAGCAGATTTGTCGAATTACGCATGCTCACAGCAGAGATGTACAATTACACACGGTAACAGCAGAGACGTGTAATTGTATATAATTATAGCAGATATGTCGAATTACGCATGAATTTAGCAGCAATGTACAAATACACACAGTTACAGCAGACACATATTATTACACGCGTTTAATTACAGCAGATATGTCGAATAACGCCATAGCGTTTTTAAAAACAGGATGGGTCATTTTCCAACATTATGGGTCAAACCACGGAATCTAAGTCCGTGGTCAAACATTTAAAAACAACATATTCAAAAATTTAACGCCGCAAACAAAACTCAATAGCAGAGATATACAAATAATGACACGTGTTGCAGCAGAGACGTTTAATATTGTTACAGCAGAAAGATGGGAATTTCGGTCGGATGAAGGTTTTTAAATCCGAGTAACCATGTCCAAATTTCGAGTCAATAACACAAGAAATAAACAAGTAACTACACCTGGTCCCGATATATCTGGTAAATATTTAGTTGAGACACGGAGGTAGATACATGTAAGAGGCACTGCTATATCAGTCCTTTGTTGAAACCCTGTATGTCCTCCTAAATACATAAATGTGTAATAAACACGTGCAATGGTGTACTGATGGTGGCATATTTCTGCCATCCACTTGCGACTTACGAGTTACGTATGTCGACATAATTGTTGAAAGATGTCGACATAATCTGAGAATATGTCGACATAATCTGAGAATATGTCGACATAATCTGCGAAGATGTCGACATATTATCACATTTGCCGAGATAATTTTGCCGAGATAATTATCTCGTAAGTGGGTAACTCGGCTTTTTATCGTGTTAATGCTCGGGTGTGACATCGACTTACGACTTGCCACTTACGACTTAATGATGTAAAATCCCTCTTTGATTGATAAACTCTGTACATCATAGTAACCTACTGTAATATCCATATCTTTGATTTCCAATATTTACATTGATTTTACCAAGTTACTCACCAGTATAGTCACCACTGTTCAGTCCCCATCAGCCCACCTTCGCGGTCCTCGTGCACAAGCCTCGTTTTGGTAAGTCGGCAATAATCTACTAGGATGTCGACATAGATAAGTCGTAAGTGGCAAGTCGTAAGTGGCAAGTCGATGTCACACCCGAGCATGAACACGATAAAAAGCCGAGTTACCCACTTACGAGATAATTATCTCGGCAAAATTATCTCGGCAAATGTGATAATATGTCGACATCTTCTCAGATTATGTCGACATCTTTCAATAATTATGTCGACATACGTAACTCGTAAGTCGCAAGTGGATGGCAGAAATATGCCTAGTACTGTACTAGTGTGTCACAATGTATTCCTATGTAGATTCCCCGAATCTGTGTATCATTATCATATGCATCAATATGCAACCACTTTCGCCCTGCCACCCTCCCCTCACCCAAAACCTTGCTTCTTTTCATCCATTATCAACCCATCCCAGGGAAAATATCTACTGTGTTTCCATTCATAAAATCTTATATCACGATTTTTTGCATGATAAAGAATGTACCAATGTCCATTCATGTAATCAATTAGTTTATTGCAACTATGATTAATGAGTGTTTCTTTTATTGTAAACGGCATGGACAAAGCAATGCATTCTGATTTGTTTAAAAATGTATAGAAAATTTGTCAATGTGTTTATCGCTTCATTTTCCTTTGCCTGTACAATGTGTGTCAATTATGAAGGTTTGAATGTCATATTCTTGACCTAGATAGATTAATCAGTAGGGCTTGTCCTGTTGAGGAATGTAAGTAATATGGATCCCGTTATCGGTGACTTAATACACTCGTGAATATCCAATGATATGATAATTACGTAGTGCTCTATTTATAGTGACTATGAATTCTGTGTATATGACCAGCGTAAATATGATAAGCTAATCACAATTCCACGATTACTCAACTTCCCGGTGTACCACGCATAATTATATGAGAATTAGTCAATGTTTCCCGTACTGGGCGAGCCTGAACGCATACACAACCACACCAGACATGACTCAGTCACTGTGAATGAACTGTAGTAGGCTGCTATGACGACAACCATGTTTTCCTTTATTTGGCGGGTCAAGCTATTTTTAGATCATATTGTGTCGGGGAAATTTTTGTCCCAGTTAAAGCTCTGGGTTTTCATTGGGTATTTCTTGTTCTCACACTGACGTCAACACAAATACTCGAATCTGATTGGCTGGTGGATCAGACAGAGACGTCACGCATATCAAAACGAGCTGTTACAAAGAAAGCGAGTCATTAGCTTGGAGAACTAGGAGGTGTAGGGCACGATAGTAGCGTAGAGCCATTGTTTACATTATTTACCGTTATAAAACAGGACTACAGGAATTCATCAACAAATCAACATGAATTCAGAAGCACAGAGACTTATCACTGTGTCTTTGGGGAAAATACAGGCCTCGCGTTCCCAGCGAGGCGGAATAAACTTGCATAAAAACTTACTAGTAGCGTGTGTGCTTCACAAAGCCAGAACAGCTTACATGATGGACAACCTACAAACTATGCTGATTAACAGGAGGGCTCAATCGGAATCTAAACCAGTGGAATCACCTGTTACTCAGATAAGTACAAACAGTTCTTCATGTATCACAAATACTACTAGCGTGGTTGTACGAGCCAGCCATGACGCGACCAAGAGGTCACGCGAGGAAACAGAGCCGTGTACCACTGAAGCGTGTCGCGAACAGAACAAAGAAAACTCGCCACCTAAACGCCTGAGGGTTGAATCAAGTGATATCACAGAACAAAAACTATCATCAGATTCATCATGCTCAAAATCTAAACCTTCAGATTATAAGAAATCTTGTAGCTTGGTGACTGTGCGTGCAAGCAACACTCCCGTAACCCCAAGTCAATGTACGGAACAGCCAAAGGTCACTGATGCTTACGTCAACAGCCAGTCATGTGTGGGGTGCGTAAAACGTAGGCGTTTTAGCACGGACTCGTCAACAACGGAAGAGGCACACGAGGGCGTTAAGCGGCCTCGTATCGAACGGGTCATCGATACCAGTGATGATGTAACAGACTCTGACAATGTTTTCATGCCCGACCCCCAAACGGACATACATTCCCGGGGCGAGGCAGTTGAGTCGAGTTTACCCAACCAGGATACCTTACACAGTGTGGTACAACATTTGCAGCCAGAATCAATTCAAATTACGAATCTTGTTACTATTTTTAACACGGGATTCGGTGGACTTTGTGAAAAGAACTTATCGGACAATGTTGAACAGATCGTTGACTGTAATAATAACAACGAAAAATCCCAGGATAAACGGGACACTGTGACGTATTACAACAATGTGCACGGGCACAAATTCTCTGTACTGGACAGCTGTAGCACACAGGTGATTGACTCTACAAAGGTCGATTCGGTTCCCATGCCAACGGCCATTGCTGTGTAGTAGACCGAGACCTATTGTGATTTTCTGAATTTAATAAGGACAGGTGCCTAATTGAATAGTGAAACTAACTGTATAATGGACAAATATGGCCAGTGTTGTGTTGACATTGTACTTTTTGAAAAAGTTGCATACAACATTTACAAAATATTTTTCAGCAAATACGTTCATATAATGAACAGTTCATTGCGTAATCAGGGAATTGTGTACATAGCCGTCATTGTCCACGTGTTGAGACAGTATCTCAGTCATGTTGTTGGATAGTTGCCAAGGCTGTGACGTATTTGATCTCATGTTTATTACAATTTTTAAAGGTCATTTGACAAAAGGTCCGTCCGTCCTTGTTTGTGAATCAGTGTAATATTTGACCAAGTACTCGGGGCATTAATCCAAATCGCTACTACACAAACAGGATATACTACATCAGAGAACATTGTCGTTTGTACAAAACTTATCGAGCGTAAAATCGCATCCATTCATTACATTTATCTGGTATTCCATGTTTTAATTTACTTGTTTTTAAATCCGGCATATTCATAATTCCAATTTTTTTAAATATTCTTATTTATAAACAGTACAATGTACTTTTGGTGTAATACGTGTACACAAAGTATGCAGTATATCCCATTGTGTACCAGATGACCTCTGTGGGGAAGGGAGCGTTATAATTTATTGACGGGACCGGATGTGGTATGCGAGGAGCGTGGGTGAACGATAGTGCTGGTGTGTATATATGTATCTTGTGTGGAAATGTGGCTGATGTTGAATGTGATATGAGAGGGGAACATGCTCTTTGTGAGAAAATATTTAATATTTATGTAAAAACAACAGCGATGCTGATATTTAAAACAAAAAACGAAGAAAATAAAACATTAAAAAATTAAAAATATATATTGTACTTTGTCTTGTCTTTCAAAATCGTGTTTTCATATGTTGTTATTCAAACGTGGATATGAGAGTTATAATTAACGCTGCTGAACAAATATTTAAGGTCACAAGATGGAAGATTTTTTTTAAAAAAAGCCAATGGTTGATATTCAGAAGTTAATTGGCTTAACGAAATATAGTCATGATGAACTGCAGAAAAGACGAAGTCCTGAAAGATATTTTATTTGGTAAAATCGAAGTTGTCTGGTAGATACCAGCGATGACAAGGTTGTCAGACAGTAATCTCTGACGTCATGTGACAAGGTAACCTGCAGTCACATGGAAATTGATGACGTCAATAGACAAGTCAAATTAACTAGGCCTACTGGTTGACGACAATTCACGTCACGGTATATATGTATATTGTATATCTTCATGAAACAGGGACGCTGATTGGTGATAACGTTTGATACGGACACAAACAGCTTCTGTACATTAAGTCGAAAAATACTACTTTTTCATACTCCTGCCATGGCCGGAAGTGGTCGCCACATCAGGTACATTTAACTGAACTTTGTTTAGTTGGTGTAGTTAGACAGTAAGAAGTGATGTTTCTGTAGAGACTTGTGACGTCATTAACCAAATTACGTCAGCAATTTGCTCGAGTCTGGAAACGGAAGTGAAATGCCAATCGAAATAGCACTAAAGTTGCTGATGTTAGCGTAACTTGTGTCATCACACCAAAGCAACAACGTTAATGTTGGTGACGTAAAGAGACACTCGAGTCAACACTGATATGACAGGTTGGTTACACCGGTTCTGATGACGCAGACAGACAATTGTGACGGCATGACGATATAAGAGACACTATATTTTCTAATGTAATAAGACAGTTGTCACGGCTCATGATGTTTTGAGAAACAGACGATATGTGAAAATCAATTAAAGCAGCCCTTGATGTCGGGGGAGACTTGTGATATCAAAATATTTCAAATTTTCAAATCTGCAATTCGTTCTCTCCACTAAGCCATTTATTCTCTCTATATCTTTCTATCCCTCCATCGTTTTCTTTCCTTCCTTTCTTCGCGTTAGCACCCTCTCACTCTCACCTTGACATAATCTTCAACTTGATGAAGGTGGTCGATATTTTATAGATATCTGAAAGTTAGCCGGTGTTACGATATGTCTAATAGGATCTTATGACAGTGTGACAGTCAAAGTATTCCAAATGTGTTATCGTAAGCGATACAGCGTGAGATAAAAGTGTCCCTGACGTCAGAAGACTTATGTTTTACAGAATGTTTATGCAGAACCTGATGAACTTATTTGCATCACTTCCTGATTAATTAATTCGGGAAATTCATAACCCGCCCTCTAAGTTGTCGGAAAAGGATTTGTTCTATATTACGTCGGTAGTAAGCCAGTGAGGAGTAAAACAAAACGTATTGTTGGCTTACAGAATTAATGACGTGTTCACAGCCCTGTAAACAAAGGCCAATAACGAGGAAACAGATCGACATGACACACATATCTCATTATAATATTAATGTGTAAGTGAAAAGGACGTGTTGAACTGTTCAAGACATCAATCATCTACATAAGTCTACATTAAGAAGTTATGTATACACTCGTGGAACATTCTCAGAATAACTCGCCTGATAAGGTTATCAGAATGACAAGCAGCGAGCTAGTCACGAGATTTCTTAGTCATTACGATAATCCAACAGGTACCCGGCTGTGGAGACGCCGGTACCTGTACATATACACCATTGTGTAAGTCGTTATGTTAATTACGTCACTATATATGACTACGTCGGTAGCGCAAGTGTAGGTATAACCAAAATGCACTTTCAAACATGATTAAAAATGTATTTCAATGTTTAAACTTTGTCTATATCCTACTTTTGACACCTTTCAAATGGAGTAAGGCCATGCCGTTTGATTGCGTTATTGACCAGGATGTAGCGTACAGGTAGATACTCCCTAGATCCTGGTCCACTTTTGTGCCTGTCTAAGTGTATGTACATTCTGCGTCTTACTGATACAGTTGTAACGTATTTCCTTATAGGTGTGTATGGAGGGGTCACGTCTACATGTCAGTCAAAGACACAATATATATAACTATTATCCAAATCTCACGTGCAGATTTTTGATAAAATAATGATTTGCCTATCAATTCTTTTTCTGATTTTTTTTCTCCTAATGTGTATTCATAGTTCATTTCTGAACAAGATTGCAGACAAATCGAATATTGCTCAAGAATACATTACGATTAATGGTCAGGAGATACGGAATTATTGGACTGTAATTATGAACAGATTGTAGTTAGTACTAGTATTTGAAATTATGACTATGGCGTCACAATTTTAATGATGTCACGATAATATCGCCACAGTCAATGGTCTCAAGAGCGCGCAATGACCTTGGTATGCTTATATTGACAATATAAATCGATGTAAATATTTTGTTATACACCCATGCTAAACGAAATGTAATATATAAACGTCCTAGCAGCAGTCATGGGGAGTGTCCAAGGATATCTGTCGGTCGCCGCGTGGGAGTGGTCAAGTTGTCTATATTTCCTGTTTATGTTCTGCGTTATAGTCAGATTAACCGCCTACACACCTCGGCCGTTAACCACGGTGATCATGGGCATGCATTATGCATGACTAGTGCCATCTGTCGGCGAGTGACATACAGGTACTAAATTCAAACTATACCACAATACGTGTTTAAGTTGAAGAAATCAACTGCGCGCTTATCACTTTTATACATAATACATATATCATGCGCGCATGCATCTCGTGTTCGGAAAGCTTGTCATAATTTTACTGAAACTTAACTTTCAGCGAATAAGTTATTAACATGCAAGACGACTCTTGATACTGAAACAAAGAAAGTACTGAGATGTTACATTATTGTACTAGGAATATCACAGAGTGGATACCAACTGCAGCGAAGATTTTTTTTGTTTTTGCCACAATAGATGACAAAATTGTTTTTATCATTGCAGTCGGTCCGTTCGTACGACATTTATACTTCTTGCGTTCAGTTCTTCTCATACTAGATGTCCCATAGTATCTACAGGTCATATACAGATGAGCACTACACCTACACGAAAGATAGGTCACTGCGATCAATATATTCCGCTTTAATGATTTGGCCAGTCTTTACGTTAAGCTACAGTGGCTAGTCTTTACGTTAAGCTACTGTGGCTAGTCTTTACGTTAAGCTACTGTGGCTAGTCTTTACGTTTAGCTACTGTGGCTAGTCTTTACGTTAAGCTACAGTGACTAGTCTTTACGTTAATCTACTGTGACTAGTCTTTACGTTAAGCTACAGTGACTAGTCTTTACGTTAATCTACTGTGACTAGTCTTTACGTTTAGCTACTGTGACTAGTCTTTACGTTAATCTACTGTGGCTAGTCTTTACGTTAAGCTACAGTGACTAGTCTTTACGTTTAGCTACTGTGGCTAGTCTTTACGTTTAGCTACTGTGGCTAGTCTTTACGCTAAGCTACTGTGGCTAGTCTTTACGTTAAGCTACAGTGACTAGTCTTTACGTTAATCTACTGTGACTAGTCTTTACGTTTAGCTACTGTGACTAGTCTTAACGTTTGACTAAAGTGACTAGTCTTTACGTTTAGCTACTGTGGCTAGTCTGTACGTTTAGCTACTGTTACTAGACTTTACGTTTAGCTACTGTGACTAGTCTTTACGTTTAACTAAAGTGCCTAGTCTTTAAGTTTAGCTACTGTTGCTAGTCTTAACGTTTAGCTACTGTTACTAGTCTTTACGCTTAGCTACTGTGACTAGTCTTAACGTTTAGCTACTGTGACTAGTCCTTACTACTGTTACTAGACTTTACGTTTAGCTACTGTGACTAGTGTTAACGTTTAGCTACTGTGGTTAGTCTTTACGTTTAGCTACTGTTGCTAGTCTTAACGTTTAGCTACTGTGGATAGTCTTTACGTTAAGCTACTGTGGCTAGTCTGTACGTTTAGCTACTGTTACTAGACTTTACGTTTAGCTACTGTGACTTGTCCTTACGTTTAGCTACTGTGACGTGTCTTTACGTTTAACTAAAGTGATTAGTCTTTACGTTTAGCTACTGTGGCTATTCTTTACGTTTAACTAAAGTGACTAGTCTTTACGTTTAGCTCCTGTGAATAGTCTTTACGTTTAGCTACAGTGACTAGTCTTTACGTTTAGCTCCTGTGACTAGTCTTTACGCTTAGCTACTGTGACTAGTCTTAAAGTTTAGCTACTGTGAATAGTCTTCACGTTTAGCTACAGTGACTAGTCTTTACGTTTAGCTCCTGTGACTAGTCTTTACGCTTAGCTACTGTGACTAGTCTTAACGTTAAGCTACTGTGGCTAGTCTGTACGTTTAGCTACTGTTACTAGACTTTACGTTTAGCTACTGTGACTAGTGTTAACGTTTAGCTACTGTGGTTAGTCTTTACGTTTAGCTACTGTTGCTAGTCTTAACGTTTAGCTACTGTTACTAGTCTTTAAGCTTAGCTACTGTGACTAGTCTTAAAGTTTAGCTACTGTGAATAGTCTTCACTTTTAGCTACTGTGGCTAGTCTTTACGGTTAGCTACTGTGACTAGTCTTTACGCTTAGCTACTATGACTAGTCTTAACGTTTAGCTACTGTTACTAGTCTTTACGCTTAGCTACTGTGACTAGTCTTAACGTATAGCTACTGTGACTAGTCTTAACGTATAGCTACTGTGACTAGTCTTAACGTATAGCTACTGTGACTAGTCTTAACGTATAGCTACTGTGACTAGTCTTAACGTTAAGCTACTGTGGCTAGTCTTTACGGTTAGCTACTGTGACTAGTCTTTACGTTAAGCTACTGTGACTAGTCCTTACGTTTAGCTACTGTGGCTAGTCTTAACGTTTAGCTAATGTGACTAGTCTTTACGTTTAGCTAAAATGACTAGTCTTTACGTTTAGCTATAATGACTAGTTTTTACGTGTAGCTTCTGTGGCTAGTCTTTACGTTTAGATACTGTGACTAGTCTTTACGTTTAGCTATAATGACTAGTTTTTACGTGTAGCTTCTGTGGCTAGTCTTTACGTTTAGCCACTGTTACTAGTCTTTACGTTTAACTAAAGTGCCTAGTCTTTAAGTTTAGCTTCTGTTGCTAGTCTTAACGTTTAGCTACTGTTACTAGTCTTTAAGCTTAGCTACTGTGACTAGTCTTAACGTTTAGCTACTGTGGCTAGTCTGTACGTTTAGCTACTGTTACTAGACTTTACGTTTAGCTACTGTGAATAGTCTTCACGTTTAGCTACAGTGACTAGTCTTTAAGTTTAGCTACTATGGCTAGTCTTTACGTTTAACTAAAGCGCCTAGTCTTTAAGTTTAGCTACTGATGCTAGTCTTAACGTTTAGCTACTGTTACTAGTCTTTAAGCTTAGCTACTGTGACTAGTCTTAAAGTTTAGCTACTGTGGTTAGTCTTTACGTTTAGCTACTGTTGCTAGTCTTAACGTTTAGCTACTGTTACTAGTCTTTAAGCTTAGCTACTGTGACTAGTCTTAACGTATAGCTACTGTGACTAGTCTTAACGTTAAGCTACTGTGGCTAGTCTGTACGTTTAGCTACTGTGGCTAGTCTTAACGTTTAGCTACTGTTACTAGTCTTTAAGCTTAGCTACTGTGACTAGTCTTAAAGTTTAGCTACTGTGGTTAGTCTTTACGTTAGCTACTGTGACTAGTCTTAACGTTTAGCTACTGTGGTTAGTCTTTACGTTTAGCTACTGTGACTAGTCTTAACGTTTAGCCACTGTGGCTAGTCTTTACGTTTAGCTACTGTGACTAGTGTTAACGTTTAGCTACTGTGGTTAGTCTTTACGTTTAGCTACTGTGACTAGTCTTTACGTTTAGCTACTGTGGCTAGTCTTTACGTTTTGCTCCATTTTTGTGATACTACAAGTCACATAGTCATTACTTTTTATAAATAGATACATTCTTGAGGAAAATTATTCATCATAGGACACATAGATTAGTGTGATCTATATTATCCGCTTCGCTGGCTTTTGTTAGACTTTGCATTTATGTCCTTTTTTGTGATACAGGACACATGTCATCAAAGTGCATTTGCAAACATCGGCATCAGAAATAAATCACAATCATATGACAATGACATTTAACGTGACCTGCTTTTAGCTCCATTTGTATAGTTACAATTTGAGTTTTGCTTCATTGCTGTGATAATGCTAGTCGTATTAATTTCATCAAATTGTATATATATGCATATCTTTCCTGATGAGTATCAGACAATCATATGGCATAAAGGTCACTGTGACCTATATTTTCCACGTCAATGACTTTGGTTAGACATTGCGGCTAGCTCAATTTTTATTACAGCGGGTGCGGGGGCATATGCAAACATTTTGTAGGTTAGATATCATTTTTATTGTACTGTAATTCCCCATATTTCACAGGTAAAATGAACAAAGATACCTACATGTGTGTATATAGCATTCAGTATATTAAAAAGGTAAGCTCAGCTCCAGCTCTTTTTAGTCTAAAATCTTTTAAGGAAGTATAGACATTGTTCAACTCGTAAGTAGCACCCAGAGATATAATGATAGTATTACATGTACTTTATTGCTGATATCCTAGTTTAAATGAAACACCTTTTCTTGATAAACGTGGATTTGTTTCCGGAACTTCCGTCTGTCGTGTTTCTGTAAACTAGCACGTTATAGTACTAACTCCTTTTTATTGGTGACTATGTTAAATCTGTGTATCGATCAATCGTGTAATACACTATGTATTTATGTATATAGATCAAACATTGACACCGTCTGTTAGTATATATACATGTATTATATATACTGCAGCTGACACGTACAGATTTACGTACATGCGATAGTACTTCTAAACACATATTAAACATATTTACGTACTGGCTAATTGCAAAATATCTTTGTTTATTTGGTGTATTTTTTTATTTTTTTTTCGAGATCGGAAATGGATGACATAGCTGCCACTTCCCCTTCCCAGAGAATATAGTGTATATATGTCTCTGTCCTTACCGACCAGTGAGCCTCGCGCTGGTCACAACACTTTACGCGTGTTCATAACAACCAGGTAAGTAAACAACAAAGTGGTCACCTGTGAAATCTATAAATAGATATACCGTGTTCATTCCTACTGTTGAATAGATACACGTCACTGGCATACGTCATTTCGATAATAACTAGGACAAAGGTTCGACCCACAAGTAAGTCTGTCTGGGCGATTCCCGTCACGACTTTTTGACTTCTGAAATCGGATAAGCGGATGATTCTGATCCGCCCAGATTGGGGTCAATCAGTGTTCCGCTCTCACGCGGCTACTACGTAGATCAGCCAACCCTGTCTCATAAGACCCACGATATTTCATAACACAACGCACCTTATTTCATAAGTTAACCTGGGTAATTAGGGATTTACTCATGTCCTAAAGGTACACGGGTCTAGATTGCGTGTTACTCAGGTCGGATGTTGTTTGTATTTTGTTCCTGCAATAATGAAACTGAAAGTGATGACGTCATTCAGTATGGGACCCTTATGGTCACATTTTTATTATGCTTTATGTATATCAATTTTATTTGCAAACGCTATAGTTTGCACAGTTTGACTTCAAGAAGTTAAGTATTTTAGCCTAGTCCGAGATTACACCAAAAAATCCCACAGGAAAAATACAAAGTTTATCAAGTAAGGTTTAGTACCTCCGTGGGGGGTGTTTCGATAGAACTGATCCGTATTAGTGGTGCTACATTTATATATTACCTGGTATACATAACCTTGGTCGTGATTCCAGATACCTGTCCCGATTGAGTCACGTCAGGTATGTGTGGTGCATGTGGTGTACATGATTGTGTTACACTACATCCTGACTCTCGGGGCAAGTAAGTACGTCAGTGACAGGTAAACTCGCCAGCTACACAATGTCTGTTACTTTCTGTTAATGTTAAATTTGAGGTTTCAACCAATTTTATTGGACAAAAAAATGCACAATTGGATAAGACAACAGGCTTAGCCTATATAAGTCTTCTCCTATCAGGTATTAATTGACAAGAAGCATACATTTAGTACATGGATCAACGAGACACACTCATATACACTTACAATCATACCATAACACACATACACCCTCATATACACATAATAAATAAGCATTCACAAACACACACACACACACACGAGCCCTTACTCAAAATTAAAAAAAAGATATACATACATATACATGTAAATAAATATAAGTATAAGAGGCAATGAAAACAGTCATAATTTTAATTAAATCTGTTAGTAGCAGAAATGTATTGCTGAACTTTTGAGAGAATAAATAAATTATCATCAGTAGATAGATAAACATTACTAGATGTAAGTAGATCAACAGATGAATATCCAAAATGATTAGTGATGTCAGTTATGAAATGTCTATAGTTAATATAAAGTGGACATAAGAAGAAATAATGTTCAGCATTTTCACAAGATGCGCCACAAGAGCAAGATGGATCAACTATCAAGTGATCATTGCATTTATCAAAATTTAAATTGCTAGCATTATTACGTAATTGACACAATACAATATTTAGTTTTCTTGAATTTTATTAATTTTCTGAATGAGGAATGTTAAAGTCCGAGAAGAGTTGAATGATCGAGATTGTTCCATAGACGCATGACATCAGGAAAGAAACTACAGTTGTAGATACAAGTTCTAGAATGAGGAATGTTAAAAAAATCTATTTGTCCTTAAATGGTGATTGACTTGTATATTAATATAAGGTTCAGTGATGTCAAATATATAATCAGGTGTTAAGTGGTTGAGGATTTTATACATTCAGACAAGTTTATGCTTATTCCGTCGATCTTTTAATTTTTCAAAACCTGTTTCATAGTATAATTTTTGATGAGATGTACCACTTCTAAGACCAGTTATAACTTTCATTGCTTCAATTTGAAAGGATTCCAGTAGTTTTTCTTCTCCAATATTACAATTACCCCAGACAAAAGAGGCATATTCTAAAGTAGGACGAATGAAGGAGAGATATAGTAAGATTTCCTATCAATTTTATGTTTTAGCATACGTAGAATATTTAATCTTTTACATGGTTTATCATAAATATATTAAACATGATCACCCCAAGAACCATTAGTATTAAATACTACGCCCAGATGTTTATGAGATTTATTTTCATGAATTATCTGATTATCAAATATAAGTAATGGATGCTGTCTATTTTTCTTAGTTACAGTTAATGCAATAGTTTTTTGAGGATTAAAATTGATTTTCCAGAGTTTTGCCCAATTATTAATGGATTCAAGATCATCATTAAGTTCTTCTGCTGGAGAAATTACATCTTTGTCAACAATAACATAAAGAGACGTATCATCAGCAAAAAGTTTTACATTAGTGTTAATTTCATGAGTAATATCGTTAATGAATATAAGAAATAAAAAAGGACCAAGAACAGATCCTTGTGGTACACCAGCAGAAATTGATGATGTTAATGTTAAATGTATTTTTGTGTTCAGTTCAATTTATTTAATTAATATTTAAATTTTGAGTTAATTGATAGTTTAATATATATATTTATATCTACATGTATGATTAGGAATTTCCTACTTTTGTCAAGGAACATTCAGATATTTATATCTCATTACTTATTACAGAACAAATATACCAAATAAATAGAATATAGCTGTATATGTATATTGATATCTGCGTATAACTTTAAAATATTCCTTGTCCAAAATACCAACATTCATGTGGTTGGTTAAAGCACTTTCGATGTGACTAATTCTGTATTTTATCTACGCATAAACACCACCATAACAGCTGTATGAATCACGTGTCACTCATATTCACAGAAATATATTTAGATTAAGTAACATTTGTTTTGACTGTAGATTTCGACATATTTCGTCGTCAAAAAATAATTGAAATCATAAAAGCATGACACAGTATTGATTAATAATTAAAAGATATATTCATAAATATTTATGAATAAATGTTTGTGAGTGTTAATTATGTAGAGTCTGTATTTTTATGTACACAGTAATCGGGCTTGTTTATGTTGACGAATGTCTATAAATAAAACTTTTCTGATTTTGTAAATTCCCGTAAACATCAGTCTGCAATAACAAAAAAACAATGTTTCAACACTGTTAGAAAGTACCCAATCTCAGTAAGCGTCCCTGTGCCTGATACAGTATTTATTGGATCGCCGATATCGACAGCTAAATATTAATAGCAACAGTCATCGTCATGTTGTAATTTATTTCGACATTAACGTTTGAGCGATGTCTCTGTGTCAAACTGACGTGACGTTTTCATCAAATAGTTTTATTTTAGTGCAGAAAGACGCCGGCTTTCCTACACGACACCTCCCTTTCACATACCTTTGATTTTAAAATTTGAATAATTCGATATCTGATTTGAGGTTAATGCACTAGGCCTGTTTGAGAAGCCAGCCGCGTGTCTATGAAATGTTATGGTCATTGACCATGTGGTCAGAACCTGGTCAGTGACATTGCCAATTAGAAGACAGGTAGCTATACGTTATAACTGTTGCTACAACCTTCAACTGTATACATAGAGCAGCCTAGCGATAAGGGTGTTTGTAAACTAAGGGGTCATCAACTGTAACGCACGTTTTCTCTATATTGCAACAAATCTAAACGTTTCCATCACCTACATAATGGGATGGGGTAGGATTTCAGATTTTATTTCCAACACTCAGACACATGAAAATGTGTAACATGAGGTACATGTACATGAATTCATATATTAAATTTTGACAGGATGGACAGGTGCATGCATGTGTACAAGCAAAATTGTATTGACACTCAGACACATAATATGTGTTACATGAGGAAATAAAGTTGCAGATATGGAAAATGAAGTACAATATACATATTTGTATACACATGTACATGTATAACTGAGAGAATGGACAGTAGGAGTGACGAAAGGATCGCGTTTATCCTCATATGGTGTGATTTGTCTAAAGTTAATTCTATGTGTCTACGTCACTATGGAAATAAATGTAAGTTTTCATAAAGTGTTCGTGTTTGCGTTTTTACAATAGAAGTATAGTTTAAACCATAAACCCATGTTATTGACTCAGCCACAATAGGTAAGACACATACGAGGTACTGATGTATCATGATAGTCGACTCTATGTAAACTTGATATTTGTATCGGAACATATTTATTTTGTTTGTGTCAGTTAAACAAGAAACACCAATACTTATTCATGAACATTACACTGAGCTTAGCCGACGAAATAGCGTCACATTATTATGAAATCGATGATGAAATCTCGAGAACACCCTACAAGGTATTGCCTTACCTGTACATACCAGGGTCAGACGACAATGACCCTACTACGTAAGCAATATACCTGGAATTTCTCAACGTGTCAGGTGATAGTTTATATATACCTGTAGTACGATTAACGGAAGATCTATTTTTAGAATAGCGTGAAATCCAGCCAGTGGCTGACCGGATCTAAAAATAACCGTTCAGAACAAAATATTTTTCCACAATATCATACAAGGTCATTTCCATTTACGGTTTCCCAGTAAAGTGCAAACGTGTGTAAATTTAGATATTATTTATTTTCATTTCCTTATGGCCTAGTTTTGATATCTTTTCCTGAAATACACACGCTTTCTGTCACATCTTCTGTACCATGTAACGGGAGAGAAACGTTTGGATTTTGAAGATAATAAACAAGCACATGCAATTAAAAATCTATAACGTGCAGCCCAACAATACTATTCTACCTGATACATGACTCTGTACCTGATACATGACTCTGTACCTCAAACCTGACTCTGTCCCTCAAACCTGACTCTGTCCATCAAACCTGACTCTGTACCTCCCCTGACTCTGTCCCTCATACCTGACTCTGTACATCAAACCTGACTCTATACATCACACCTGACTTTGTACATCAAACCTGACTTTGTACATCAAATTAACTCTGTCCCTCATACATGACTCTCTACATCAAACCTTACTCTGTACATCAAACCTGACTCTATACATCACACCTGACTTTGTACATCAAACCTGACTTTGTACATCAAAGCTGACTCTGTACCTCATTCATGACTCTATACCTTATACAATACCCTGTATCTCAGACATGACTCTGTACATCAAACCTGACTCATCAAACCTGATTCTGTACCTCAAACCTGACTCTGTACATCAAACCTGCCTCTGTACCTCAAACCTGACTCTGTACCTCACACATGACTCTGTACCTCAACCCTGACTCTGTGCATCAAACCTGACTCTGTACCTCATATATGACTCTGTACCTCAAACCTGACTCTGTAGCTCAAACCTGACTCTGTACATCAAACCTGCCTCTGAACATCAAACCTGACTCTGTACCTCAAACCTGACTTTGTACATCATACATGACTCTGTACCTCAAACCTGACTTTGTACATCAAACCTGACTCTGTACATCATACATGACTCTGTACATCAAACCTGACCCTGTACCTCAAACCTGACTCTGTACCTCACACATGACTCTGTACCTCAACCCTGACTCTGTGCATCAAACCTGACTCTGTACCTCATATATGACTCTGTACCTCAAACCTGACTCTGTAGCTCAAACCTGACTCTGTACCTCAAACCTGACCCTGTACATCAAACCTGACTCTGAACATCAAACCTGACTCTGTACCTCAAACCTGCCTCTGTACCTCAAACCTGACTCTGTACCTCACACATGACTCTGTACCTCAACCCTGACTCTGTGCCTCAAACCTGACTCTGTACCTGAGACATGACTCTGTACCTCATACATGACTCTGTACATCAGACCTGACTCTGTACCTCCCCTGACTCTGTCCCTCATACCTGACTCTGTACATCAAACCTGACTCTGAACATCAAACCTGACTCTGTACCTCAACCCTGACTCTGTGCCTCAAACCTGACTCTGTACCTGAGACATGACTCTGTACCTCATACATGACTCTGTACATTAAACCTGACTCTGTACCTCCCCTGACTCTGTACCATACATGACTCTGTACCTCAAACCTGACTTTGTACATCATACATGACTCTGTACCTCAAACCTGACTCTGTCCCTCAAACCTGGCTCTGTACCTCAAACCTTACTCTGTACATCAAACCTGACTTTGTACATCAAAGCTGACTCTGTACCTCATTCATGACTCTATACCTTATACAATACCCTGTATCTCAGACATGACTCTGTACATCAAACCTGACTCATCAAACCTGACTCTGTACATCAAACCTGACTTTGTACATCAACCCTGACTTTGTACATCAAACCTGACTTTGTACATCAACCCTGACTCTGTACCTAATACATGACTCTGTACATCAAACCTGACTCTGTATATCAAACCTGACTCTGTACCTCAAACCTGACCCTGTACCTCAAACCTGACTCTGAACATCAAACCTGACTCTGTACCTCAAACCTGCCTCTGTACATCAAACCTGACTCTGTACCTGATACATGACTCTGTAGCTCAAACCTGACTCTGTACCTCAAACCTGACCCTGTACATCAAACCTGACTCTGAACATCAAACCTGACTCTGTACCTCAAACCTGACTTTGTACATCAAACCTGACTTTGTACATCAAATTAACTCTGTACCTCATACATGACTCTCTACATCAAACCTGACTCTGTACATCAAACCTGACTTTGTACATCAAACCTGACTCTGTACCTCATACATGACTCTGTACATCAAACCTGACTCTGTACCTCCCCTGACTCTGTACCTCATACCTGACTCTGTACATCAAACCTGACTCTGTACATCAAACCTGACTCTGTACCTCATACACGACTCTCTACATCAAACCTGACTCTGTACCTCCCCTGACTTTGTACATCAAACCTGACTCTGTACCTCATTCAGGACTCTATACCTTATACAATACCCTGTATCTCATACATGACTCTGTACATCAAACCTGACTCTGTACATCAAACCTGACTTTGTACATCAAGCCTGACTCTGTACCTCATACATGACTCTGTACCTCATACATGTCTTTGTACCTCATACATGACTTTGTAATCATACATACTCTGTACCTCATACAAGAACCTGTACCTCATACATGACTGTACACGTGTCTCATACATGACTTTGTTCCTCAAACATGACTTTGTACCTCATTCATGACCATGTGACTTATACATGACTCTGTACCTGGTAATAAGGCCATGTACCTCATACATGACTCTGTACATGTCCCTCATACATGACAATGTTCCTCAAACATGACTTTATACCTCATACATGACTCTGTTCATGTCTCTACCTCATCATGACAGTGTACCTCATACATACATGCACAAATCAGCATTACTGTGTGCCTCATTCTTACTCAAGACTCTATCTCTACCTCCACATCATACATAACTCTATACCTAGTAGACTAAGTCTCGGTGAAGGCCACGTTACCCGTACCGGAACGTGCCCAGACACGGAGACTAAACGTCCTCCACCCAACATTGTATGGTACACAACACAAAGGGTGTGAGGCCTAGCAAGCCATGCTACTGAAACACATTTAATCGATGAATAAATCTTACGGTAAATAAGCCCTGTAGTGTACCGTGCTTACTTTAATTCCACTTCCCCATCACAAAGAGGTTACTATAAATAGCTACCGCAACATGATCCAGAATGTAAATTTTAACCGTTTTGACCCGGAAATCCTTTGCTGCACTAGTTTAATGTGTTCGATCTTATTACTGACAGCGCGATGCTTTTAAACGTATTTAGTCTACAAGTATCTTGAGCTTTAAAAATCAGCCGGAGATGACAAGCGACCTTCGATTAGTAAAACTCGGGCGTCAATCCTGACAGTTATCACTATCGTACGTGTATACCGTACCACATTTTATGGATTTTTCGCGTCCCTTTTATCAATGGAATGCGCTTAGTCAGATCACGGCTGTGTGAATTAACTACATTTAATGTCTGGTTAACTTTTAAACACAGCCTTACGGAGTTTACATAGACAGTAGCATTCCAGTGATCTCCTTTTATACAGTAGCATGCTCATTTTGTTCTTGCAGATGTCGACCATTGTCTGTGTCTGTTTTAAGAAACCAGTAAATGTTATATTGCAGTGTAACAATGTGAGACAACAGGAAACGTGACTGGACCCGTATCTATGTGGGTCGTTGATCACGGTCTACTGATTATGACTGACTACAATAGGACATTTGTGGAGCCTCAGTCAAGCGGATAAGGATGGTACCGGAAACACCAGTGAGTGTAAATCTGTGACAACGGTCACGACCAATCCATGGACGTAACCCAATCCGAACAAGGGGCGTGTTCGGTAAAGAAATACATATATAGTGTTTCGATATTTAAATTTTGAAGACTCTAGTTTGATTACAAACATTCATTAAAATCCATCAAAACGGTTTTATCACGGTTTCAACAAATTATTTACACGTGTTCCCAAGTGTAGTGATTCGGTAATATTTCTTTAATGTGCTTCTACGGATCAAACACGTTTATTTTAATCAAATAAAACAAAACATACCCCACCTTTCTTAATGAAAAAAGAAACTCTGAAACTCCTGTTTATTATAATGCAATACGACAGTATATTTAACATCCCAAATATAAACAACACTATTGATAAAAATATCCGGTACACACGACACTATATATTATTAACGCATCAGGTACACACGACACTATTTATAAAAACATCAGGTACACACGACACTATATGTTAACGCATCAGGTACACACGACACTATATATTAACGCATCAGGTACACACGACACTATATGTTAACGCATCAGGTACACACGACACTATATATTAACGCATCAGGTACACACGACACTATATATTAACGCATCAGGTACACACGACACTATATATTAACGCATCAGGTACACACGACACTATATATTAACGCATCAGGTACACACGACACTATATATTAACGCATCAGGTACACACGACACTATATATTAACGCATCAGGTACACACGACACTATATATTAACGCATCAGGTACACACGACACTATATATTAACGCATCAGGTACACACGACACTATATATTAACGCATCAGGTACACACGACACTATATATTAACGCATCAGGTACACACGACACTATATATTAACGCATCAGGTACACACGACACTATATATTAACGCATCAGGTACACACGACACTATATATTAACGCATCAGGTACACACGACACTATATATTAACGCATCAGGTACACACGACACTATATATTAACGCATCAGGTACACACGACACTATATATTAACGCATCAGGTACACACGACACTATATATTAACGCATCAGGTACACACGACACTATATATTAACGCATCAGGTACACACGACACTATATATTAACGCATCAGGTACACACGACACTATATATTAACGCATCAGGTACACACGACACTATATATTAACGCATCAGGTACACACGACACTATATATTAACGCATCAGGTACACACGACACTATATATTAACGCATCAGGTACACACGACACTATATATTAACGCATCAGGTACACACGACACTATATATTAACGCATCAGGTACACACGACACTATATATTAACGCATCAGGTACACACGACACTATATATTAACGCATCAGGTACACACGACACTATATATTAACGCATCAGGTACACACGACACTATATATTAACGCATCAGGTACACACGACACTATATATTAACGCATCAGGTACACACGACACTATATATTAACGCATCAGGTACACACGACACTATATATTAACGCATCAGGTACACACGACACTATATATTAACGCATCAGGTACACACGACACTATATATTAACGCATCAGGTACACACGACACTATATATTAACGCATCAGGTACACACGACACTATATATTAACGCATCAGGTACACACGACACTATATATTAACGCATCAGGTACACACGACACTATATATTAACGCATCAGGTACACACGACACTATATATTAACGCATCAGGTACACACGACACTATATATTAACGCATCAGGTACACACGACACTATATATTAACGCATCAGGTACACACGACACTATATATTAACGCATCAGGTACACACGACACTATATATTAACGCATCAGGTACACACGACACTATATATTAACGCATCAGGTACACACGACACTATATATTAACGCATCAGGTACACACGACACTATATATTAACGCATCAGGTACACACGACACTATATATTAACGCATCAGGTACACACGACACTATATATTAACGCATCAGGTACACACGACACTATATATTAACGCATCAGGTACACACGACACTATATATTAACGCATCAGGTACACACGACACTATATATTAACGCATCAGGTACACACGACACTATATATTAACGCATCAGGTACACACGACACTATATATTAACGCATCAGGTACACACGACACTATATATTAACGCATCAGGTACACACGACACTATATATTAACGCATCAGGTACACACGACACTATATATTAACGCATCAGGTACACACGACACTATATATTAACGCATCAGGTACACACGACACTATATATTAACGCATCAGGTACACACGACACTATATATTAACGCATCAGGTACACACGACACTATATATTAACGCATCAGGTACACACGACACTATATATTAACGCATCCAGTACACACGACGCTATATATTAACGCATCAAGTATACACGATACTATATATTAACGAATCTGGTACACACGACACTATATATTAACACATAATGTACGCACGCCCCTATAGATTAACGAATCCAGTACACACGATACAATATTTTAACGCATCAGGTACACACGATACTATATATTAACGCATCAGGTACACTCGACACTATATATTAACGCATCAGGTACACACGACACTATACAGTTAAAGTATGGGGTTGAGGGATATAGCCAGTTTCTGGTGTCCCAAGACAAGGTCTTTTTCCCGAGGTAAAGCCGAGGGAAATAGGCATGGTCAAGGGACACCAGAAACTTGCTATATCCCTCAACCCCATACTTTAACCGTTTTATTATACCGATACACACTAGAGAAATAGTTTTAATTATAATATATTTGTAAACCATAAGCTGTATAACTTCACGTCCCACCTACCCTTTTGATGGCACTGCACTATATATTAAAGCATCAGGCACACACTTACTATCAAAATCATCAGATTTAGATTGTAACGTACGTCTGATCCATCGTCATTTCATCAATCCTTCTCTCCTGACAGTTAGATTTACAAAACGTGTCATTATCAGAATGTATGTTCCGGACAAATACTATTGCTGCTAGGCTGTAACCCTATGTAACAGACATTAAACGGTTCCTACTTTAGAAACATCATACAGCTATTAACATCAATGTACAATTTTGTTATTTCTAATCAAACATCTATTAAAAGACCAAAGATACAAATTGTCATTTTAAATAATTAAACACATCCTCGACATTAAATCCCGTCGTTCACTAACCGAATTATTCCAAATATACTCGCGCTACAGGTCCTATATAGGGCAAGCCACCTCAGCATTTATACCAAGAGAGATCTATAGAAACTCAATATGTAGCAGTGCTTTCTCTTTTTAATGTAAGAGATTATCAGATTAATAATAGAAAAAATCCCCATATCATTCTAATTACATTTATACGAACTATACCTATGACATTTAAAGATATTTTTGTTTCAACAGCAGAGACGTATATATACTCTATGTATATACTTTATATATCTCTGTTTAATAGGATATACAATGTATCTTTAATTATGTATAACATACCTCTATTACATTTAAAGATATATATATATCTTTTAATACTTAAATGACTTTATGACATATTCAAAATGTAATCGAGATATTTTTAAACATAAAAGAGATATCCTTTATGAAAAAGAAACAAATACTCAAAAAGATATATCCCTATTTAGGTCGTGTTTGAAAGGTATCTTTTACCATTAAAAAATATCTTTATTCAAATTGCCAAACACAACCTTCCTTACGTCATAGCGATCTGCGTTTAAACAAGACTTCACACTTCCCAAGTTCTCACACACTTCCCTGTGCAGCCTTAATTGTAGCTCCACCTAGTGACCGACCAGCTCCTCCCTAGTAACAAACTTGGTCAAAGATCACGGAGTCCCATTCATGCTATTGTGTGTACAAATATTGATCACGTCATTTATATCTACTGTACAGGTACCCAGCTAGCATATTTAATGAGAACCTTCGCACGTGGTCGCATCAATGTGTTTATTGTATTATTCCATAACACTCGGTTGTTTACAGATAACAATCAATGTCGAGGACTGGATTTCACCGAACGCCTGATACGCACACCAGATTTTTACGGAAGTCAACATGTTGACGGTCGTTCTACCTGTTTACCCATGCACATGACCCAGCGTGTAACCTTTATGAGTGGTGACGTCAGCACGACATCCTGGCGTCATCTGTTGATACTCGTTGCCACACCAACAAACTGCCGATTCAGTAGTAAAATCGATAGAATGTGAGCAGACGCTAGTAACTACTGAAAGTCGAACGTTTCGTAAGTTAGGTATATACTGTACATAGGGCACTCCCTAGAAGGTCGATAATGATACAGCACCAACCCACCTAACCGCGAACCCTTATAGCTCGCGTGCGCCCACGGTCAAGCTGAGGGTGAGAGGCAAAAAATCAAATAAATATGCAAGTAAAACAAATCTTTTATGTAATTTTTAATCAAGCCATATACTAAACACGTGGAAATGTTTTGAGCCTCTGGGCCAGTGTAACACACCATTATGTTACCGGTAGTCGTGTTAATGAATGAAGGCGGACAACCGTGACCACAAGCCCGCAACATGAAGGTTGAACGTACTGAAAGTAGGTCAGCGCGTGGTAAACTTCCTTGGCTGAATATATAACCAATGAAGTTTCCACAGTCAGATATGTTCTATTTATAACACACGCTTACAGGGTTTTTTGACTTGGATTTTCCTTGTTTTAAGAAAGCATCCGGATTAACTGTATATTTATACAAATATGTAGGGTTTACAACAGCTAAGTGAAATAGCCTTCTATTGTTCAGTGTGATTCCTGAACTTTTGACCTCATGTGAAAAATTGCCCGCATCCTGAAGGAAACGCAAGTTTTCGTGTGATCAGCGCTGGTAATTAGTGGCAGATCCAGATACCTCTATCGGGGGGTTTCCAAATTTCCAGGGGGTTCTATATGGGGGAAAATTTAGGAAAATGGTAAAAACATGATTTTCAAATAAGGATCCGCCACTGGTGATGGAACATGGGTGATTAAGTAGGTGGTGTGGTATAACTTTCAGAGCTCTGATGTAGTCACAGTGTAAAACATC